AGAAGTGGTGGCTCTCTTAAGAAATGAAAAGAAAATGAAAGAAAGACAAAGAAAAAAATTGAAAGCAAAAGAGAGCCACTACCAAAAATCTGAATAATGCCCAGTAAGTAGTGTTTTTGAGCAGTCTGGCTTGGAAGTGCTGATGTTTGTACCTCCTTCGCTCTTGAGATATTGAGTATTGCAGAATAGCAGAAAGGAAATACAGGTTTGTTTGACTGTGATTGTGTGGGTTTGGAAATGTGGAACCTTGTGTTATAAATGCTTCCACCACCTAAAAGGCCTTTTCCCCATGTCCAAGACCCTAGCCAGTCATTTGAACCTGTGTCTAAGACCTCCGGATTAGTTAGTGGTGACACCCCATATGTGAACTCTAGCATTTAGAGGCTGCCATCATGGTGAAGAGATGATAGGGATTGAGAGAAATAGCATGCGCCTTTTTCGGATCAAATCGTCCTGACCCCACTGGTCGAGAGTGAGTGATTCATTTTCATATTCTTTATACTCTTGTACCCCGGTGAGGACCTAGATTGCTCGGTCTTTGTTCTTATGTCTTGAGTTGGATGCATGAGTTGACTGTTTTGAGTGAGTGGTTGACTCAACTCTAGGTTGGTTGGTGAACAGAAGGGAGACTCATCCTTTACTCGATTTTGCTGCATGCGAATGTCCTTTGTGGTGGTTGTCCAAGTTGCTATTGAGGTTGTTCATGTATTGATGTTTGAAAACCAGTACGATTCACGTGTTCTGTGCCTTTATGACTTGTCCCCAATGTTGGTTGATTGAAATTTGTAAGCTTACCTGGTGTCTGACTTGGTTTGCTTGGGGACAAGCAAACGGTTACGTGTGGGGGAGTTTGATAGACCGTTAATTACACATGTTTTTACCCCCGTTCTTACACCGTTTGAGGTATTGATTCTCGTGTTTTAGGCCGATTTCACGCTAGGTTGTGCTTGTTGGTGATATTTCAGGTCCTAGTACGTGAATGGAGGCTTGGGAGCGAGTTTGGGGTCGATTGGACGAAGATCGGACGCGTGGCGAGGTGCTAAGGAAGCTGCACGGTCACACACAGAGACCACACGGCCGTGCAACTGACAAACCAGCCCGTGTGGGATTGTGCGAGAGAAAACACGGGCACAAGTAACTTTCACACGGCCGTGCACGAAAGCAAGGTGGCCGTGTGATTTTTGCCGAGGCCAAACACGGGCATCCCAGGAAATTCACACGGCCGTGCAACCCTGGCCGTGTGAGATGGCTGAAGATCGACTTAATGGCACGCTGCGTTTCGACTCGCACGGGCAAAGTGGTGAGCCACACGGCCGTGTAGCCTGCCCGTGTGAGTCGGGAAATTCTGGTTTTTGAGCCAATTTCGAGCCAAAAGTGAGAGGATCGGATTTTCACAGCAAAAACAGAGCCATAGAGAGAGAAAGTACGAAGAACACATCCTAGAAGCTATCTTGGAGCTGGTTTCGTCAATTCGAGCTTAGAGATCGTCATAGGAGTGGAAATCATCATCCCGGAGCAGATTTTCCTCATCATTATGACTATGACTACTCCGATTACTGTTTTCTCTTCTCTCTCTATGGAGTAGAACCCTTCTCTCTCTATGGAGTAGAACCCTTCTCTCACTTGGGTATGAAGAACCCTAGTTCCTTGTGTTAGAGATTTGATTGTAATGACTTGGGATGATTATACTGTTTGATTTTAATCGAATGATGCATGTTTATTGAATTGATTGAAGTCTGATCAGCTTTTCTTGATTTCTGCTGCAACCTGAGATAGATAGAATCTGATTAGGTTGTTAGAGCCTCTTCGTTCGATAGTAGGAGATTGGTTCTACGAGAGTTAGCCAGTACAAGAGTTAGCCAGTTTACTGCTTTGTACTGGAATTCAATTCCAGTAGTGGAGTTCTGTGTTCATAGCCTCATCTTTCTATCCCGGTGAAGACTAGTCGTCTGCCGGGTAGTTAGACTGAGAGGGCTTGGTCAGCTTAAGAGATTCCAAGCTACTGTTGGAACTTCCGCAGTCTAATCAACAGTGAATCAACCCAAGGGAATTACAATTGAACCTAACTAAGGGGCTAGGGGGACTCAATCCCGAGTGACTCTTTCCTGACTTTGAAAACCAAATTATTACTTGCTTTCTTACTGCTTTTGCTTTAAACAACAATCACTCAAATTAGTTTGCTAGATAATAAATAATCACGGAGTAAGCAGTAGATGTAGACCCCGGGTTGATAATTGAACTTGCCTGTTACTGCATTCCCGGACTGCGATTACACTTGGTCGCAGTTTGGTGTTGTGTTTTGGCGTGTCAGCATGCCACAGTCCGAATGGCTCTTTACTGCTTGCGGCAAAAACGCCTGGTTGCTCCCTCCTCGGACTCGCCATTTCACCAGCTCGCCGAAGATAGTATAATCCATCATGGAGTTGACCCAATCCAATCATAGTCATGGAGCGTAAGTGCTGGATAATACAGAAATCGGCAATGAAAAGTAAGGAGACATCGTGGTCTTTGGTGAGACGACTAACTGACAACAAGTTACACTTGAAAGTCGACACATGAAGAACCCGATTAAGAGTAATATTCTTGCCGAGTCTAACAGAACCAACACCGTGCACTGGTATACTATCTCCATTAGGAATACGAACCCCAAAATTAATATCCATAGACTCAACTTCGTCCAACCAACGAGAATCACGAACTATATGTTCATTGCACCCCGAATCGATAAGCCATTCATAGAGATCAGGAGAGTTACCGACCATATGCGCTGTTGGTTCAGTCGGTGGAGGTGGTGGCGCCGAGAAAAATTGCTTCAAGTGGGCAAATTGGGCAGCCGAGAGTCCTGGGATGGGACTTTCTTCCCCTTCGACGTTCGCTGCTCGAGAATGTGATCTTCCATCATTCTTGGGGCGTCGATCTTCTCCTCGACGATCACCACGATCGCGATCCCCACGATCATCTTGGCGGCCCTTTCCCCACTCGGGAGGGTAGCCAATTAATTTGTAACATGATTCCTTAGCGTGACCGAGCTTATTGCAATGCCCACAACGCGGTCGATCGTCCTCAACTTCCTTGTCACCGCGAGCTTGAAAGGCGGATGTCTCAATGGGATGCCGACGTCCCGAGGTGATATGGCGTTGTCGCTTCGTCCAGGCTTGGGATTGGCTTCTTGCTAAGAATTTGACTTCTTATGACAGCAAAAGCATCGTCCAGCCCTAAGAGAAAATCAAATAAGCGCTCGGTTTCTTCCTTTTCCCGAGTTTGCCTTGCCAAGTCACATGTGCACAGTCCGCACGAGCTGTGGGGAATGACCGAGACAGAAGATAGTTCGTCCCAATAGGTCCTGACCTGGGTATAGAATTGGGACACCAAGAGCTTCTCTTGGCAAAGGGAACCGATAGCACACCTCAACTCGTAACCACGAGTGGCGGATCCTTTTTCAAAACGTTGTTGTAGATCCTTCCATATATCCCGCGACGTTTGTGAACCACGCACGCTGTTGCGAACTTCCTTACTCATGGCTGTCTTCATCTACATGGGATCGATAGATTATCAGAACATTTTCTTTCGGTTACAGCTGCTCATTAGTTTAGAATTTTATCCACTAAAATGCTAATGTGAGAAAACACTACCAATAATGCAACGTCTTGCGTATATATATAGAGAGAGAGATAGGATAAAAATGCTAATTGGAGAAAACACTACCAAAAATGCAACGTCTTGCATATATATAGAGAGATAACTAAAAAAGTAATGGAGATGCAGGGGATCGAACCCTGTACCTCCCGCATGCAAAGCGGGCGCTCTACCATTTGAGCTACATCCCCTTCTTATGTTCAAAAAGTTAATTTATCAGTAAATATTTGTTTCTTTGGTTGAAAAGTTTGTGCACAAAGTTGGATGATTCTGCTCAAAACATGTTTGAACTTTATTCGAACATGTAGAGCATACGAGGAAAGAATCATTATTCTATGTTAGCTTCTCATGCATGCAGCTCGAATCTCTCATTGACATTTGTCTCCAACATTCTCGCATATGACATAGAGTTGTTTTTTAATCTTCCACTCTAATAATTCGGCAGCATGGCTTCCTCTCTGAAATCATCACTAACGACAACCTTGGTGGAAAATACCATACCACCTCCAAATCGGTCGTTGTATTCCACACTGGCTTAGGGAGAAAGTCGGGATCTTATTTATAAGCATATAAGGGATGATTAGGAATATTTGTGTAGTATGAAGTAAGTGACTCCCGAACCCCCACCTCATCGTACATGTCTTCTTCCTCACTCACATATCTCAAATCAACTTCACTACCCTCGTCTCTTATGACCATCATCGCTAACATCATCATCTCAATGATGTTTACACCTAGATCTCAGGATCTGCAACTATATATAGCTTATTAACTATTTGTAGCCGTACATTGAAAATTGAAATGAGAGTCTAAGATTCCACAGGTTTTCCTTGAGATGAAATGTTCAATGCTCAATATCTAGGTACTTTGTGTATCATCTGTTGAGCTTCTGCCCATACATAACGTTATACCATAATTTACATGTGACATCATCCTTTGTTGTGCACATTGTTGTCAAGCAGGTGGAATTCTGACAAGTGGAACCTGGTTGCACTGATGTCGGTCTTGAAATAGGTGTAAACATCATTGGTATGAGTGACATCTAAGCAATATGAGGTCGTTGTAGTGAATTTAATTAATTAATTATTTATTTTGTGAATATATAAGTTAAATGTTGATGTTAATTTTTAGATTCAAGTACAACGGTTTAGAATATGAATATTTGTTATTTTATTTAGAATGTTGTATTTTATTTAAATATGAATATGAATTATGAGTACATAATTGCCTTCTAATATATTAAATATATAATTAATTTCTTTGATGATTTTCCACATTTTTATATATTTATTTAAGCGATCCAATAGGATCAAATTATTTCATTATATAAATCAATTCGACAACCACGTCATTCATTTATTTGTCGGACACATTGAAACCAGAACCTAATCGAAACGAGCCCTTATTTTCCCCTAATTTGTACCCTTCTCCCTCTCCATCTCTCTGAACCAAGTCCGTCTACATTTCTCTGCTCCAAACTCCGGTTCCTGTCTGCATTCTGCGCTGTTTCTTTCCTTCTGAAACCGAGAGAGAGAGAGAGAGCGAAAGACAGATGATACAGCTTCTCTACGGGGTGATCTTCGCCGAGATGGCGTTGATCCTGGCGCTGCTCTTCAAGACGCCGCTGCGGAAGCTCGTGATCATGGCCTTGGATCGGGTCAAGCGAGGCAGAGGCCCCGTCATGGTCAAGACCGTCTCCGGGACCATCTTCGTCGTCCTGCTCTCCAGCCTCTACAGCATGGTCAACATTCAGAACCGCTCCATCGAGGCTGGTGCTCCCAATCCTACCGACCAGGTTCTCATGTCCCGCCACCTGCTGGAGGCATCTCTTATGGGTAAACCTCTCGTTTCTTCTCTCTTCTTCTCTGAATTTAGTGTGATCACCGTTTGTTCCATCATTTCTGTGGGTGCTGTCAATTAAATTTCCTCGGCGTCGTTGATTCTGTGCGGTTGGGAATTGTCGCTGCTCAATAGATGGTGCATTAGGGGATTTGTGATTGACTCGCGGTATAGATGAATCTGTAGTTATTGCTTCTTCAATATTGGTTATTTCTCTGTTACTTGCTGAAGAAGGGGGGAATGTCGCATTGCTCTCGTCTTGCATTTTGGTCTAGCGATTGGAGATGGTTCGGTGCAATTGTTTTGCATTTGGTGGAATTCAACATTCGGGAAATGTTCCTCCTTAGTTATGAATCGATTTATGGCGCCTAGTTTCATTTGGGTATCTCAATTGCTAATCTGTTCTGTGGCTTCTGTCAATAACCGTGCTCTTGAAAGAAATGATGGCATTAGCTTGTAGGAAGAGAAGCAAAGATACTTGACGTGTTTTCCTGGAAAAGGAAATTCCATATATGTGGATTTGGTGGGGGTACGGTGGCTCCCTCTTCCTTAGGAGGGAGGGTTTGATTAGTTTGCTGTTAGCATCTTTCTATCTTCAGGCAGTCATTAGGGTTTATGCAGCAGTATGCTTTAGAGTACCCATTCACTACCGCGGATCTTCCATAAGAATTCACATCCATGTTGCACATTAGGAGAAAGACATATTATTGAGAACATGTTGCATTCGGGATTCAGTAGATGAATAATGTTCTCCTATAGTTCTGAGTTTCCAAATCAAGTAATTCATTCGATTCTCGTGTGCAGGATTTCTGCTGTTCCTCGCACTGATGATTGACAGGCTACACCACTACATCAGGGAGCTTCGTCAACTGAGGAAGACAATGGAAGCTGCCAAGAAGCAGACCCGAGGCCTCGATGACGGTAAAACGGGCACCAATACAGAAGATGTTAAAGCACTTGGCGAAGAGGTTGCTACTCTGCGCAGTAAGGTAAAGAAACTGGAGGCCGAATGTGAAGCCAAAGGAAAACAGGCAAAAGCCTCCGAAGAGGAAGCTGTGGCTATTAGGAAACAATCGTAAGGTTCGTGTCTTGAGAATGGTCGACTGCAAGAAGACAACCAAAGCCTTCGCAGCCAGATTGAGTCGATAGAATCTGGAGGGCAAGAAGGATGTGTAACTCCTGATTGAAGAACTTTTAACCATGTTTGATTCAAGTTCTATACTATTACCCTGCAGATAACTCGAATAGGTGGTTATTAGGAGTATTGGAAGCCTAGAGGGTTTCACTTGTTGAAGTTATTACATTGTTACCTTGTTCCAGTGCACAAAGGTCATGAAGCCAAACGGAATTAAGAATGAATGGCATGGTTTACAATTTTTATTCAGAGTAAGAGCTGCTGATTGACAAGTTTGTAGGCACATTGAGTTCTGATGTTATTGTACTGTAATAATTTTGTTGCTGGAACTTTCTGGGTTCAACAAACAGGCCTCTCAGAAGTTTGTTTCTTTTAATTTGGAGAACTTTATATATTCCATCAAATACATTATTTCATATAACATTTCTTAAACTACATAGGTTTTACTTGTCGCTTTCCAGGCCATTGATCAATGGTAAATACTAAATAGCACCTATGCAAAGCGATCAAACACGAAATCGCGTATGGGGATAGTGATTTGCACTTCAATTGCCTGTGAAAGAAGCAATCAAATCACATCGCTTTTGTTGAAAGAAGGAAAGATGGAAACTCCGGAATCAAAGGAATATCATCAAGGGCTTACCTTTTCCTCTCCTTTTCAAAAGCAACAGTCTACTAGCCAGGAAGCTATATATATTCTCGTCCAGCGCCTTGGTTTGGCTTATCTTTGTAAACAGTGGTATAGAGCTATTTACTTAAGAGGGTTAATCTGAACAGAGGTATAGGGTCTGTTCGGTTAACGGTGTAACGGGTCTGGAATTCGGGATCCGGGGAGCTGTTTCATTTGTCTTTCTTTTCTTTCGTTCTTAAGTCTGTATGTTTGTTTCTTCTTGCTTGATAGGAAAAATCAATAATAAAAACAGAGTCTCCTAGACCTCAGTGAAGTACTGAGTCTAGGACGAGGACGTACCCAATAGATTGGGGAACCTCGTTAAAATCGATTGTGTTCTTCTTTTCTGCTGTTGCTCTGTTTTTTTCCTTTCCCCTGTTCTTAGCTGATCTCTCTGTCCTTCTTTTTCTTCTGTTGAAACGAGGAAGAAGATGATGGTTAAGACTGACTCCTTGGGCCGACTAACGTAGTGGGCCTTTTCTTCTTTCTTTCTCTGTTTATATTTAAGTTATCGTGTGGGCTTTAGAAGCTTGGGCCTACTTGAGAATAACCGAGACAATATTGACAGAGGAGACCAAACGTGGTTTCCTTTATCTTCTATCTCGAATCTTCTCTTGTCACTTTCCCAAATTCTAAATCCCTAACTGTTGCTAACGCCGTTTCTGAGTAATAGCTTTATCATAAGTGATCAAGCAAAATCAGTGTTGTTTTCAGCGAGTATCTTTCACCCTGAGGATAGGGTTAGGTGGAGCTGCTTCGGCCTTTGGGTGGGTGGGCTAGTCAACACCTTGATTGCTTTTGCGTCAAGCAATAAAGCTAAATCGCTTTTTTCATATTTCGCCACGAGGATAAGAATAGGTGCAGCGGACTAGGCATTGATCGCTTTCATCAAAATCGATTTTAGTGTAAATCGCTTTGTCCGAAAGCAATGAATGTCTAATCTGAGTGGTATAAATTGACGACTCTTCCATCCTTTCATCTCACTCTCATTTCCCCTCTTCTCCACAAGACCTGCAGAAACCCTCATGGCTGCACCAGAACTCCATTCCCTCATGACTATAAGGTATGTTTGAGTTTGTTTAGTATGCTCATGTTTAAGTTCTAATGTGTTTGTGTTTCACTAATTACGGTTAGGGTGAATCATGTTTAAGTAGTTATGTGCTTGTGTTTAGTATTGGTGATTGTATGATGGATTATTGTTTTGGATGTTGTATTTGAACGTTAGTTATGGATTTGGATGAATTTGTTTAGTTTACTAATGTCAAAGTAGTTCACTGTTTGTGTTGCTCTAATTATGGTTAGTGTCAATTATGATAAATATTTGGATTAAAGCTGATTGTATGATGGATTATGGGTTTGGATGTTGTATCATGTATGTGATTCCTAAGTATTTAAATTGCATGTATGGCCATATGGGTAGATATATTATTCGGTGGAATGATCGGGTGACAAACTCCCACAAAGGATTGATTATTAAGATGACGAATCCAGTAGGTTGAAGATGGAGAATTGGAGACCAGAATCAAGTGGCAAGAACTCTAAGATATTTTTGCATATAGGATTTGTACAAGGTGCATACAAGAATTTGTAAAATTACTTACTGATATGCAAACATCAGTGGAGGCAGTGTCATGTACGAAGAAGTTGTCATATCTGACAATGATGGGGGTTAACATGATGTTGCACTTCCTAGCTGAAAACAAGATCGACCTTGCAGATATTTATGTTGAGACTGAGGATGTCGGTCAGGGTGGAGCCAGTTATGGCTATGATGGTAGTGAAACCTCTTCTCACCACCATTCTTAAGGTGATGATGTTGCAAGGGGGTACGAATGTGGTAGTGCTTCAAGCAACTATGACGGAGGTAGTTATGGAGGCAGTGGTGTGGGAGATGGGGTACCATGCGAAAAATATACTCATCGTGTTAGTTATGTTGAGCTTGAGCCATTTGTTGAGTCTGATGGCATTCGATGGTCGACTTGTGGTATCTGGGGGCCTACAATGAAAATAACATTCGAACATCTGGGCGATCTCCACAGAATTGAGATGATGATGTTAGCGATGATGGTCATAAGAATCCCCCTGCCGAGATGTCGAGTTACCCATACGAAAACGACGAGGGTAGTGAAGTTGATTTGAGATATGTGAGTGAGGAAGAAGACATGTACGATGAGGTGGGGGTTCGGGAGTCACTTACTTCATACTACACAAATATTCCTAATCATCCCTTATATGCTTATAAATAAGATCCCGACTTTCTCCCTAAGCCAGTGTGGAATACAACGACCGATTTGGAGGTGGTATGGTATTTTCCACCAAGGTTGTCGTTAGTGATGATTTTAGAGAGAAAGCCATGCTGCCGAATTATTAGAGTGGAAGATTAAAAAACAACTCTATGTCATATGCGAGAATGTTGGAGACAAATGTCAATGAGAGATTCGAGCTGCATGCATGAGAAGCTAACATAGAATAATGATTATTTCCTTGTATGCTCTACATGTTCGAATAAAGTTCAAACATGTTTTGAGCATAATCATCCAACTTTGTGCACGAACTTTTCAACCAAAGAAACAAATATTTACCGATAAATTAACTTTTTGAACATAAGAAGGGGATGTAGCTCAAATGGTAGAGCGCCCGCTTTGCATGCGGGAGGTACAGGGTTCGATCCCCTGCATCTCCATTATTTTTTTGGTTATCTCTCTCTCTATATATGCAAGACGTTGCATTACTGGTAGTGTTTTCTCCAATTAGCATTTTTATCCTATCTCTATATATATATATATGCAAGACGTTGCATTATTGGTAGTGTTTTTTTTAATGGATTGGTATTTATTTGTTGTTTTGTTGTTCCAGCGAAATTCGTTCGGCTGAACGAAATCAAGGAAAAGATTGAGAAAAAGAAGGAAGAAAGATCTGGCGGAAGATTGAGGAAGTGAAATAAAGAGAGAGAGAAATTTGTATTTAATATATTTATGTAACTTTCTAAAATGTAATTTATTAAAAAAGAAAATTAATAAATATTATTTTTCATACCCAAGTTGCCCTTAATAACTACGGTGATTACTAATTCATAATAATCACCGTAACCCCTCCCCAGGCATGGCCCTGAGCCTGTACTGTCAAGCCCCCAACACAAGGCCTCAGGAAAATAGGGCCCTCAATATGTGGGTAGGAGCTGTTGGACATTGAGCTTGTATGAGCTTCTTTCGGAAAAACCCAGCGAAAGAAAAACAAATAAAAAAGTACTTAATTATTTCCTTACACTCCACCAAGAGAAGCAGACGCAATAAGACTTGTCGGACTTCCATGTAGTCAATTGGGCCTTTGCGCCCAGGTCTGCCAACGAGATTGCCCCCTATCTATTTGGTAGAAAAGTTTGTATCAGATGGTAGTTTGGGCTCTCCTTAGAGTCTGATGTAAATCTACAAGTATATTATAACAGAGTTGGGAGTAGTTTTTCAGCATTTCGAATTTTGTGTAACGAGAGAGAAAGTAGGAAGGGTAATTGTGTCTTCACAATCATTATTTATTTTTCATTCATAAGAAAAAAACATCAATCTACGGATTTGAACCATGGTATTTCCAAACAAAGACAACAACCATTACCAGTTACACTAAAGAAATATTCTGTACCTTTTTAAATACAAAATCTGAAAATCTAAAATTTAAAAATTATATGACTTTTCCACTATTGTTACCTAGCCTACTAACTCTTCCGAAAGTACTTTCAATGTTATTTGATACTTTAATTTTGATTATTTTAATTTGAGTTTAATAGTAAATTTAGTTTATGTCCTCTTACAAATGGAGAATAATTTTAAAATTGCAACCCAAATATCATTGATTCGAATATTGCACATTGAATTGCATATTAATTTTAGAACTATTAAAGCAACGATATTGTTATGCAAACTGTAAGTTACCAGTTTTTTGAAAGTTTTAGTTTGGTTAATCGTTCAATCCTAAATTACTTAATAATATGGCATGCTTGGAAAAATGGGTGAGTTTAAAAAAACACAGTTTATGAATACCAATTTTTATAAATGATTTCAATAGGGTAATTGACTAGATGTATGATTCATAGTTACTTAGTTTAATATGAAATAACGGAGTACAAGACAAATCATGAAAGTCAGGCTGGAGTTTTCATGGACGCGTTGATGGGGTCATGTGCATTGGCAAGGTAGGTAGCACCAATGCAGTCAAAATCGCGATTCTACCTAGAAGCGGAAAATGGGTAAAATCGTAAAGCGTAGAATTAAAGCGTAAAAACGTAAGTTTTTGACGCATACTTTAATATAACGAAAAATGTGTTAAGTACGATAAAATATGAGTGGACATAGTTTAGATAAATTAATAAATACTTGTAATTCATGTCTAAAGTTGAGAAACTCATAACATTTTAACAATAAGTTCATAAACATATATCTTAACAATAAGCTACATTCCCCTCTATGCTAGTGAATTTGGGAAGGCATAGCTGGTGAATTAGATTACTCTATTGAAACTAAGAATGCACCCAAGGCATATTTTATGTGATTTATCTTTAAAATATAAGTATTTTCATGAATAGAATACTCTTTTAGTGAACTAGAGGCGTAAAAGCGTAAAGCGTTTTAGTGAACCAGAAGCGTAAAAGCGTAAGCTTTTATGCTTTAAAGCGCATTTTAGTCCCGATTTTATACACTTAAGATTTTATATGGAAACGAAAGCGTTTTGGTGTCCTAGAAGCGTAAAACCGTAAGTTTTTAAGTTTTAAAGCGCGATTTTGACTGCA